CTCAGAGAAAAAAAAGTCAAAAATGGTGTCTTTTTGACTGGGTCGGTCAACAATCCTTTTATAGAGTGCTCTCAAACCCGAATGGACACATATATGTCCTTTCAAACAGGAGCCTCTTCAGAAAAACAAATGATTCAGTGCATCACGCGTACATGTACACATACACGTACATGCGCACCCGTGCCCCGACCCGACCCGACCCGGCTTGGTCACTCTCCTTAAAACCGTATTTCCCCCCTATGGTGCAGTCAGGTGATCGCAAACCGGTCGCCAAGACAAAACAACCTACAGGCCACTGGTAGGTGTGCACTCACTTACCAGACCTCCACGAACTAGTGAAGATTGATGCTCAAATTTCTCAGAGAAAACAAGAATGTCGGAAAAATGGTGTGTATACTGGGTCAGCCATCACCCTTTTATAGATTGGTCTCAGACCCGAATGGACACAAATGTGTCCTTTTAGACAGGAGTCTTTTCAGAACAGTGCACCTGTTCGAAGAGGTACAAGGAGGAAGAAGAGACATGAAAAAAGAAAACAATTTATTTTGAATTTGAAGAGACATTTTAAAATTGAAAAGGTGTAATTTGGATACAACAAAATGATTTAGTGCATCGCCCGCACCCATGCCCCGACTCAGCTCAGCATGCGCGTGTGAAAAGCACCCCCAACCCCCCCTCACATGCATGGAATATCTATAGTCCTCTCTTCCTATGGGTCCCTACCCATAGAGGGAGCAAAACTACAAATATACTCTACTCCCACTTCTTTCCCAAGCAATGTGGGACAAGGAGTCATTCAAGGGAGGAAAGGACAAAAATAAAAGAGGGAGAGAGATTCTTGTAAATTTGAATCTCCCTCCAACAACACTTTCACTTACATCCCTCTAATTCAAGGCGGATTCACACCATTTGCAGCAATACGTCGAAGGTCATCATTTACGGTTTTAGCCCCACATTTGTCACAAAAGTGATTTCCTATCATCTAATGGCTTAAGGATGACAAAAAAAATTTGGTAAGTTCGTAGAGTTAGGGGTGCAAATGGATCGGACCATGATAATTCTTATATTATATATTTATAAATATAAATATATAAAATATATATGTTATTTATTTATTTATAAAATATTTTTATATTATATTTTTATAAATTTGTTATATTATTTATTTCTATAAAAACATGTATATATATGATGAAAATAATTAAAAAACATTTATATTTATATTTTTTACTTTATTTAAATTTGTATATTTTATTTTTCTTTTAATAATTTATTAATTTTTAAAGAAAGCAGGTTGAATCAGATCAGATCAGATCCGAAGATCCAACTTACCGATAGGATTTGAATTCAAATCGAGTCCTATCAGATTCGATCGGATTGGATCTGATATAAATAGTATTGGATCAAATTCGAATATACCCTAATTCGAATCCGATCTGATCTGTTTGCATCCCTAAGTAGAGTAGTACGTGTTTGGATTGAGGAAGAAATAAAAATGCCGAGAGAAATAGAAATTGAAGTTTTAAGGCATGTTACAATAAGGGCTTTGTAAACCTGTTGGATGGTGGATCAAAATTCTCTATCTATGAATCCAAACAAGGAATTTCATTGCACTTAGATAAAGGCACCCTTATTCTAGCCTCGCTGTTGACTACTTGACTTCTCATTGGAATGCCGAAAGTAATTTTGTTGTTTCTTCTGCTTTGTGAGTTACGGGGGATGGTAATTCCAAATCCTCTTATTCTATTGGTATTGGGTATCACATTAGTAAGTTTGGGTAACTTATATTAATCTCACAAATATATTAATAATACTAAATTAAATTTAAGATTCAAATAATTATAAATAAGGTATAAATATATAATTTAATAATTTATATAAAGAAATACACTACAATCATCAATACTAAGAGTCCACAATATGTAGATATCATACATTAACCTTACTAATGATACATCAAACAATGCTTGATCTTTCAATATACTAAAATAAATTATTTTAGTACCATGAGAATGATTTAAGACATAAAATAAAATACTTTATAATTTTTGGAATTTTCTTTTTCTTTTTGAAAAAATGCATACATCTAATAAAGATCACAAAACTAAGCACGGATGTACATATTTTTTACAATTGAAATCCCAAACATCAATTGAGGATGTATGCTTTTCTACAAAAAAAAAGGGAACATAAACAATTGAATAATAAAATAAAATTACCTTCTTCTTATTCTTTTATATACTTCTTCCCTCTTTGGTTTTATAGGTTAGGAGTGAAAACAATCCCAATTGTGCTTAAGACAAACAACATAATGATAAAGTTGTGAACATTTTTAAAGAAATTGGTTAAAAAATAAAAAAAAGCAAAGATTCCACCAATTGGTGTATCCTATCTATGTATATGCACCGATACATCACAATACATTGAGATACAGTCGATACAATATTGTCATGGGTGGAATTTTTTGCAAATGTGCCTAATCCACCTTTGCCATATACCCACCACTGTGGATATGGATACGATATGTCTTGTATTAGGTAGGGGTGCTCACGGTTCAGGTAACCGAGCTGTGGGTTATATTATCCAAACATAATTGGTACTACAGGTTTTTGGAAAACCAATAATTGAAATTGAATTGAAACCAATCGGTTAATCGATTGATCAGTCAGTTAATTGCCGGTTTAGTTCATCAATTTTTGTGCTTTTGATATTTATAATATATATTATAAATAATAAATAATATATTATATTATATATAATGTATATATATATATATTCATTTATAATATATAGATAATATAAATATATATAATATACATATAATATATATAAATATATGTATATCAGTCAGTTTGATTAACTACAAATTTTTTATATTGGTTAACCAGGAGCCAAATATATTGGTGTCCCCCAAAACTTTATGTTAAAAGTTAAAACCATTATTTATATAGTTGGTAAGTGGAGGCAAGATAAAAAACGTAATGAAGGTCCTTGGCCACCCAAAACTTGAAAGTCTCACTCTCTCTCTCTCTCTCTCTTCAAACTCTCAAAATTAAAAAAATTTTGTTTACTTTTTTTTAAAATATTTGTAATAGACCCAAGCCTTCTGATCCCATTTCTCTCCAAACCCTACCTCTTCTATCCCTATCTCATTTTCTTGTTTTAATTTGGCTCCTCCACTCCGCCAAACCTTCATGTCAAATCGTGTCTACATTTTGAACCGAACAGGAAACCCAAGACCTACATATAATGCATCTTCTCTTTCTCTCTCTCTTATTTATTTATTTATTTTTAAATGCTACGTTACAAGGGATTTTAAGAAGAAATGTTGCTCCAGGGATAGACGGAAGCCTGGAATATATCTAACCTTTTGGGCTTCAAAGTTCAAACACGTTGCCGCGTAGGAGTCTGGAGACTCGTGACTCCCTGGACCCTTCAGAGTTCAGACTCCATAATCCATGGATTTACGTGAATTCAGATCACCTGCTAACAAAGTACATTCCAACAAACATTTATAAAGAGTTGAAAGGTGTTTTGTTGGCAGAAGATCCCAACCCGATTTACTACCCAATGCATTAGTCATTTAGTTGGGACCCATTTAAAGGTGGGGCAGTTTAGGTGGCAAGTTATGTGTCCCCACACCCATCAATGGCTACTCTGTTCACACAGACCCAAGACGCTCCCGATAATTAAACAAGAAACTCTGTGCTATATAAAGCACAAGAAAAGAAATTCTTCTGAGGTTAGATCCCAAATTTGCCTGAAAAAGAGAGAAGGCTACAATTCTATAACGAGTACAGAAAAGATTGGATCTTTAGTAAATTACCCAAGATAATATTGTTGTTCATTTGATTTGACAGTTTTGACTTATCGTCTCGTGAACTGTAATTTTAGTTTGAATGATCCTTGGAACCACCTCCTATATTGGGTGTTGGTCCCCATTTAGAATTTTCCACCTGCAGAGAAGGGGGTGTTTCCTTCCACCTACCTATTTGTATAGAATCCTTTAAAAACGTTACTTCTTTGTCTCTTTGTCTTAGCTAGGGCTTTAGGCAATCTAGAAGCAGAAGCATAGGAGAATAGGAAGTTTAGCTAGGGCACCGGTTTGACCGTCCGAGTCAAGTGGGTCAGACAGTGCCACATCATCATATATATATATATATGTGTGTGTGTGTGTAAAATACATATTGACTATCGAGTTAGGTGGGTTAGATTGTGCCACATCATCATCTATGTATTTAAGATCTTTCTCTCTCTGTGTGTACAAATACATATTTTATCAATAAATAATGTATAATTATGTCTTAGATATGTTATATGTATTATTTTATATTTAATTTATATTCTTTAGTTCAATTTTATTTTTTATTTATAAAAATATTAAAATTGCGATTTAAGGCCAAAAAAGGGGATTTTTTCACAAAAATAGTAGGGCAAGGCGCCTACAATGCATTGGGACGCAGATTTCAAAAAGTTACTCAAAATAAAAAAACCCTAATCAAACATCAAAGTGCAAAATTACAGCCTCCAAAAATTTGCATGCATTGAGTGTGCAACCCACAACCCAATGATTGGGTCGAACAGGTTGGTGGTTGAACCGTTCATCAGCATCTGGGTCAGATGGTTTTTGATCAACTCACGGTTTTAACAGAACCATACCCAGAATCATGACCAGGTGATGGTTCGAATAATTCAATCAGCCGGATCAATGACGGGTTGAAAACACTTACTGCAAGTAAGAACTGAGGCCCTCAACCTGAGCCCGATCACTCAATGTCCAAGCTTTTATTCCCTTAAATCACCAATGTCTACAGAATGTAGGAAAGAGCTAATTTTAAAATAATTTGGAAGTTAGTTTGCCCATTTTCTGCCTAAGCACTAAGTTTATCATATATTGTAAGATGATGCATGCATGACAAACATGGACGGAGCCATTGCTGTGAATGCACAAGACATCATTTGATCCACAGTAATCACATAAAATAGACCGAAAATTTCACAAAAACCAATGCTGAAACTGGCAACTCTACGAGGTCATAAACTTTTTTTTTTCTAATCTCTTCATTTGTCCAGAGAGTATCATCTAGACTTCCACAGACTGTAGATTGCTTATTAAGCAAAAGGGTATATATCAATAAAAAGTTTATGCTGCGCTCCGCATCTTAGTTTCATTAATAATGCCACAATCTGAACATTAGAATTTCAATCAAAATAAATGTTATTATCACTATAATTGTTGGCTTTAATTGCTAGTGCACTTCAAATCAAGTGAAGCTCAGAATTGAGAATTCTGCACTACTTGCACATCCTAGATTTGTGGTCTTGTCTGAACCACATATATTTCTCCATCTTTCACCACACCTTCTATGTCCTGGGCAGACCGATACAAGCCTTCAATGATATTTCCCACCTCCGCAATTTTTGAGAACAGCGAAAGTTGGAAGCTTTTATCAACCATCAGACGGTCACAAGAGTAATCCAATAAAACTTCCTGTTCCTCATCCATGGGTATGCTGCCATAAGACAAATTAAATTGATAAAATGGGAGAATTTGCAACCTGAGATATTTCTGCAAATCAAACATACTTAGGATGCTTGTACGTATAGGATCCACAGTCTCATGGCTTCACCTAGACAGATTCACTTGATGCAATTGTATTCATCAAAACAAAAGGCACAAGAATATAGAAAGTACAGTATATATCTATATACCTGTCATAAAGCCCAGCACCTGCATATCCTTCCAAATCCTCACCGTTGGAATCTGACCTAAATATGAGGGACTTCTTAATAAATAACCCTATTTGTTTGCTTGGAAAACCAACAACCTGCAAGTGAATATCACACTGAGGCCTGGTGAAATACTTTAAGTAGCCATATTCAGGAAAAACCGGAACTTTAAAAGTTCAAATTTTAGAGTTTAATGTTTCTCAAGTTGGCTCCACTTATATGTGAATTGCCTTAGCTCGCACATGCATTTATTTGGGTAAACATAAGGTGTCTTCCTACAACCTGACTTACCTTAGGAGATTTTAGGTTAGACTTCTTGGTAATAAAGCTCATGGCTCGTCCAGGATAAGCACCCACCAAAGTTTCTCCCAGGCCCTTGACAACCTGTTCTTCCACAAATGGAAGGGAAGTGAGGACTACGTCCTTAACATGATTTTAAAACCTAAGTCAAGCTTACCTCTGTATAAATTTCTGAGGTGTCCCCTGATAAGGGATTTCTTGTATGGATAACAAAGGCATAGTCAGCACTTATTATTTCTTGAACCAAGACAGCCATGCAAAGGTGATCATGATTAAGACTAGCTTTTCTACAACTAATGTATGCCCTCTCATTCCACTTTGAAGCCCAAACCTGGAGCACACAGATAAGGAAACAATGCATCAAGGTAAGAAAATCAATACTTTTGGTTTATTAGCAATTTGTTGTGCACAAGAATGAACCTAGAGGAAATGTCATAAATGACATTATATTTGCATATAGGAAGGTATATTTTAAATTTTTATAAGAAAAGCATCATATTTTTATAAAAAAAGACATTTGTTCTTACTCATCATCACCATCTAAGACTTATCCCAACTATATGGAGTCAGCTACATAAATCCTGTTTTGCCATTCTGCTCTGTTTAGTGCCATATCCATAAGACATTTGTTCTTATTAATAATGATAATTTATAGGGTGTACATGCTGAGCTGGCCTGACAAGGAGCATCCTCTAGATGAGATTGAACTACAATTTTCAGTCCATTGGTCTGGATAGGATATATTTTAAGGATAATTAATTTAACAGGACAGGCATGTGATGTTAGGGCACAATAGACCAGCCAAGGCCTCAAAAATAATAATTTATATCCAATCTATATCTAGCAATGTTCATGTTCTAATTAAACATTCTATGATATTTTTGTAAGTCAATAGATATCCTTTATATCTCTGAATATGTATCTTTAGTGGAATAACTTCTGTTCTTTTTGTAAACTTTTATATATTCTTTTTAATTATCAATATATTCTATACACACATCATTAAAATCACAAACAAAACTCAAACACTATAGATATGATAATCCATAAATATTACCAATTATTGTTATGTTTCAAAGTTTACCTTCTTTATTGCTTGCCAAGCTTGTCTCCATCTCTCCTCACCTTCATCACCAGGCCAAGGTATCCTTGAATTTTTCATTTTGTTCTTAAGTTCATTGATCTACCAAACACCCAAAACTAAATAAGTGAATAAGAAGAATATTGGGAAACTAACTAGCAATTTTTTTTGGTCTTTTTTATTGGAACAGTTAAACTTTTATGGATTAAAATTAAAGAATGTGTTATTGGAAAAGATTCAAGTATTTAATAGGGAGAATAAAATATAACGATATGCTTAATTGAAGCAAATTGGTCCTAGTTAAACTCAGCAACCATCCATTTTAACAACTAGCAAGGTTGGAAGAAACATCTATGGCCTCAGAAGCATCAGAACACTGAATACATGGAATAAGCTCTAAAAAAGAGCAATCCTTGATGAACTTTATGCTGGAAAATTTCCTTTGGAACAAGGTTCTGATAACACTAGCACACATGAAAAGCATCAATGCAGATTGGTTTTGAGATTTCATTTATTGCTTGCTTCTCTAATTTCTTTGGCACTGGACTTCTGAACTCCAATTGCTGTGTAACATTTGATTCACAAACATCCATGCAAGAAATTTCAATTCAGTCCCCTTCTTCCTCTTCCCCCAGTGGGGCAGAAGAAATAAAAAGATCCCGTGTGTGTAAGAAGTTGAATAGCCCTGTGATTTACCACCTTGGGTAGGGAAAGCACTCTAACCTAGATGCACCTAATATTCAGTTTGGGAAAAGTGCAAATACAAATATGTTAAGTTCAAAACCTTGTAAACAGTATTTCTAAACCTTGTATTTGCACTCTTCCCAAACTGAGCTTTAGACTCAAAACTTTCAGGTTTATCATATCATGTATTTACACTCAACATTCAGTGAACACTTGAATTGTTGTCTCAGGCACGGAGGTAAGCAGAAGCATTTTCAGTTGTTAAATATTTACTTATAACAAGGAACATTATACCGTTTTTTTACTAATATGACAAGTTAGAGCTAGCTTTTGGTGAACTAGGATTGATATGCAGGATATTTTGCAGCTAGGAGTCTGAAGGCATATTATTTCAAAGATGTATTCAAAGTATGGGATACTGGAGAAAATGGGAAATCAGGTCTAGGAGCTTCTGCAAGTCGTGATAAAACCATTTTTTTACTAAATAGAGCAAATTAAAAACTTTTGAATATTTTTGGAGTTAAAAGAAGATATCTGGAAATTCAAGGGGCATTTTGATATCACAGAAGCAAAATATGGCCTTAGAGCAAACCAATGGGACTTTGTGAAGTTTGACAGCCTCATATCCAGTTTTATCAAAAGAATGAAGTACAGATTTGGCAATGGAGAGCAACTAAATTTCTGGAGGAGCTTATTGTTTGCTGATCAACCACACATGGAATCAGTTCCCATCCTTTTTCTAGTGGCAGACAATAGAGATCATATGGTGGGAGAATATCTTGACTATTCACAAGACATTGTCTGGGATCCCACCTTTTAGAAGAAATCTAAATAATTGGGAGCTTGACCTTGCGGAGGAGCTTCTCATGCTACTCTATAATATGCACCTCAATCTTTTTCAGACATAAGAACATGGCCATGGCGGCCCTGAAGGGGTCTTCACATCTAAATCTTTGTTTCAAAGGATAAACAATGGGGATAGGGGTACCTTTCTAAGTAGCAAAAATTGGAACTCGGCAGCATTCTCAAAAGTTTCCTTTATGGTTTGAATAGCAGTTTAGGAAAAATGCCTTGTGGTGAACAACTTAGAATGGGAGAGGTTTGGGCTCACCAATGTTTCCATCTAGGGAAGAAAGAAGAAGAGAGAAAAAGAGAAGGAAGTTTGGGAGCCAAAAATCTGGGCTGGTGGCATCCACTGTTCTATTTGTATCAAAGAGATTTAAAGTAAGGAAAACTTACATCTATGCCCCTGGTGACACACTCCAAAAAAAATAAAAGCTAAAAACATGCTGACAGCACTCTAGAATAACAGCAGAAAATAACCTAACAGCACAAGCAACCCTAACAACAACCATATGGTACATGTCTTACACACTCAGGCAGAGGAAAAACTAAACTACATATTTATACATTACAAGTTGGCAATAGGGGTGTGGAGGCTTCTTCCGGAGGTCTTTCAAGTTCATTGGTGTTTCTCCAAGACCCTCAAACAAAAATTTGGGGCTGGTACTTAAAAAGTCGGGGCAAAACAGGAAAACTTGTAAAGAATCCATCTCTGCAGAAACTACATGGGTTTTGTGGAACGAGAGAAACTCAAGATTGCGAGAGAACAAACCCAAATTGGAAACTGAGTTATTCAACAAGATTGTTGAGACACCCAGATCTTGGCTACTGGTAACTAATAGGGTGTTCATCAATATGTATGATTTTGGTTTTTAAACAAAAAAATTGCCACATCAGTAGAAACTATAAAAAGCAAAATCATACATATTGATGAATAGATCCTAAAACTTTAAGGGGTGTTCTATACTCAAATTTTATTAATTATGTATGCCTTATTGTCACATAGTGATTTTCTTCATTTTTAATAGGGAAAATTCCTGATTAGTACCCTGTACTTTGGGCCTAGTGCCACTTTGGTCCCCGAACTTTAAAATGTGACAATTCAGTACCTGAACTTTCAAAACGTGCCAATCCAGTACCTGCCGTTAAGTGGCATTTGAAAAGACACAAATGCCCTTTGAGTGTCATCTCATTTTCTTTATCAACCATCCAAACGTTGATAAGAAATGAACAGTCCCGAATCCTTGCCTCTTCTATTCAAGAAAGTTGGGGTCACCAGAATGCCCATTGAGATGTGCCACTTAACGGCTGGTTAATGGCAGGTACTGGATTGGCACGTTTTGAAAGTTTGGGTACTGAATTGTTGCATTTTAAAGTTCGGGGACCAAAGTGGCACTAGGCCCAAAGTACAGGGTACTAATAGGGAATTTTCCCTTTTTAATATATACGTTCAATTGCTGCTGTTTCAGGTCTATTGTACAGATCCTCTTTGTACAAAGTACAAACTCTTTCCAAATTTCAATTACTTTTGCAACCTAGGTTTCTTAGAGACATAAGATGGATAACGAATAAAAAAAAGAAAAGAAAAAAGGATTTGTGCAGGTTGCTAATCCAAGCAACCCAAAAGTTCTCAATGCAACTGAAAATCCAAAGGAAATTAAAAGTGACTCCTGAAATCCATAGCCCTCTTTTGGAATCATGTAATGAATCTTACATAGATTTCTTTTGCTAGTACAAAACTATGATAGATTCTCATCATGATGCATTATGTGAGAATTTGTAACATAAAAAACGAGGACTGTAATACTCAATAACAAGACCCTAGACCACAACAAAAAGCATATATAAAATGACCATATAATAAATTATTATATAAGAGCCAATGATCTGATACAAAAAAGTTACCAATGGGGGAGGAGCTTTCAGTTGTAGGATAACTTCTCGTATAACTTGGAGTTTTGAAAGGTCACCACCTTGAACTAGCCTACTCAAGGAAGAGATCTTGTTTGCCACATCCTGTAAGATAGCAGTTTGTCTTACATCAAACTTCAAATTCATTATAACAGAAGGTTGAGCACATAACTAATGCCAAGTCATTATTGATTTCAAAATAGAAATACCAACATGTAATGAATTTGATTCAATTTTAAAAATAGAAAAATAGACGGATCACATAAAAATGATCAGAGACAATCCTATGCAATGCGAATGACACTTGTTTCCTAATTTGGGAGCATTTCAGTTCATTCTATGGTTCCATATCCCAGAAAAAGTTCAGGAAAACATGCAATTTTTTGAAGGACATATCACAAATGTTTCATTCTTAGAAATATCATAGACGGTCCACTTTTAGATGCATGCTACTAGGTCAAGCCATGCATTTTAGCATTACAAACAAGTTCATGAATGCCTAAACAATATAGGATGTTATAAAAAATGATGTAAAAAAAGCACATAAGAAAAGGAGCCAATAAAGATGTAAAGGCCCTTTATGGATGTCATCCTGATTAAGGAATGCCCTAAAAAATTATCAAAATAGAAGGAAATTAAAATAAAAAGATTTCATAAGTTCACACAGGAACCCAGATTACAATAGATCTTTATCATGTGATCCAAGTGCAGGGATCTGTTACTCCATTGCCCTTTAACTTATCTGGTATGGTGCCACTTCTTTATGCTATTTCAGGTCCAATGGATTCTCCCTCACTCATTGGCTGAGTTATTATCTTCTTAGAACGTGCCTAGTCTCAAGAAAAGGAAAATTCCTATAGAGCTGTCTTCCTTTTGCCATCTGTTAGGTAGTTTGGAACGAGCTGAATCGTAGAATTTTTGAGGTTAAGTCTGCTCCAGTGAAGGTGATCATAAGCAAGGTGGAATGGACTCTAAAGAGATGGGCTAGAACTTCAAGGCTTTCTGTGGGAACTCTAGTGAAGGTGATCATTTCAGTGAACATTGGACTTCCCTTATTTCATATTTCATTATGTAGGAACTTTATGTTAATGTTCAGTTCATATATACAAGCACACTTTTTAGTACATGTTTGGGAGGCTTCTTGCCCTCTATATTTAATACAATCATTTTTACCACTTATCAAAAAAAGAAAAAAAAGAGAGCCATAAGACAACTAAATTTGTTTTAACTCAAGTATGCAAAAGATGGTATACAAAATGAGTTCAATCACTTATCACTTTTGAAGCATAGACATGTTTCAGTGAAGGCCAACAGGGGGGTTGTTGCTGCAAAATACTAATCCAAGCAACCAGAAAGTTCTCAAAAGAGCCCAAAAGCGAAAGGCATACAATCTATGATTGGTATTTTCACATCCACATTCATAGTCCTTTAACCTCCTTTTCTAATACAAAGGCATAGCATTCACATCATCATAGCTAAATATGCAATAAGTTCTGAACACACTAGAAATCCCAAAACATCATCTAATAGTTTTTTTTTTTATTGACATTTTTACATGAATTCATAGAAATAATCATTTTTTAAAACCAATTCCTAAACGTAACAAAACTATAATGCAGAACTTTAAGACACAAATAACAGGTCATATAGTAGACCCAAAACACTCTAGAGATTGATGATTTACATGGCTACCAAGATACAATCTTATTACAAAAATGAAAACTAATTTTTCACATACGAGGAGAAAGTCTGTAGGCTCATCTTATAAAAACAATGCTAATCATCCTCCAATCACTTTGTCAAAATAAATTCTAAAAAGATTTTGTAACCAATGGAAGGGGAATTCTTTTCCTTTTTCCAAAAATAAATTTCTGGTCCAACTTAGCATTTCATAAAAGACTAATTTCATTTTTATTGCCAGCCTTGGCCAGCCTCATGAAAGGCAAAGAACTACCACTCATCGAAATAAAATTTAGAGTACTGGATCTCCCACTCTAATTCAATGAAGTTTTAATCAAAATTGACTCTAAGGGTACTAATACAACCAGAGTTGGAGAAGTCGAACATACCCTGTTTAAATCTTCGAATAATATATGCTCAAAAACTCCAAATGGTAAGGCAATTGACATTGGAATCTTTATCCAAGATGGTACTCTTCCTCTTAGAAATTGAATATTACGGGATTTAGCACCAACCTGTTCGATGAAAGTCAAGATCACAAGAACATCTTTCGTCACTTCATATAGTTGAGGTATATATCTTCTTGCAAACTCATAATGCTCATGATAATTAAATATGCAGCAAAAATCATTTACCAAACCAATGTGTATATGAAAATCTAGTGATCAATTCATTGTCAAAAAGAAAAAAATGAAAACAAAAATGTTGTTTTGGTATCATACAAATTGCAACGAGAAGATAAAAACTTGAGCCCATCCCAATATTTGGATCCTAGTAGAACCACAATTTTCACACTATTATAGATTGACGTAAAACATATAATGTCACTTTAAGAAAGTCTAATATTTCTTGTGCAACAATGTATTTATAAGGAGGGGCATCTTCCTTCCATGCTGCAGGGATTTTATTTTCATATGTATAAAAATAAAGGACATGGGTAGAAATAGTAAGAAATGATTTAAGCACTAATAATTTAACAGTGGATATGGCTTTAAATATAATGGATTGGCAAACAGAATTCATGTAGCCAGCCCCATATAGTTGGGATAAGGCATTGATGATGATGTATGAAAATAAAAAACTAAGAATCCAGAGTTCTGAGAATCAAACAATTGACCATTAAACTAATGAAATAAAATATACATAGTATCAACAAAATGTGTTAGCTATTGACATAAAATGTCACCCTTTCCATAAATCTATGCAGGAATGGACATATTCTCCAGTAGCATACCGTATCACTTGTGAACTCCTCAATCGAAATGGCATATTTACCACCAAAGTTCTTTTTCTTCAAGGTCAGTGCTTGAGGAAAGGTGGAAGTAGTAGGACCAAAAGATACAGCAGAACTGCTGATATCTCTGCAAATAGAGAACACACCACATCTCAAGCAGGGGAAAAAAGAAGAAAGAACTTCAGAGATATTCCTTCAGCACCATACCTGATTTCTAGGTTTGAGAACTTGATCCATATTGAGACTGCTTTTCCTTCCTTCAATTTGAGATCCTGAAGAATTCTCTGATCAAAGCATGTGGCAAAGCAAACCTGTAACATACTACCGTTATTGGGTGTCACACATTTCTTTAGTTAAGCATCTATAGATGGGTCTTCATTTAAAATCAAATAAAAACATTTCCAGGTTTTCTTAAGAGGTTAAATGTTCTATTTGAATTAGTATGTATCAAACCAGTAACTGCAATTATGCATAATGTGCAAATAGTTTCCAGACCTTGCTATTTCTTGCTCGAATAGAAACATGAGATAGAACATCTGGCATATCATGTGTTAGAACAGCGACAACTCCATCTGGAATCTCTTCCCCACCAGTAACTTTATTTGCAATAAGAACTGTTGGTTGCTTATAGACCTTATCCTGAACAGTCATCAACTCATTCACAGAAGTTACAAAACCACACACATCCAGAGGGCTAATAACCTGCCAACTGCCAGATGTGAAATTTATCATTGTTTTGAAGCTTAAACATTATATTAAAATATCAATAGAGGCGGATATGCATGTGAGGTGAGGAAAGGTATCTTGGTAAAAACTGTGGACTTTCATCCTGTAGGTTCTTACGCAATTTGCATTAGAATTATCCTTTTATCTTATTTGAATATAATTCTCCCAAATTTCATATAAAAAAGGAATGCTATACATTGAACAGACCAAAGTCTTTACCAGCCTAGGTTTGCAATTTTCCGAAGAATGGGATGAAGACGGTTAATAAGCATAGAGAGGATTGGTGCTGATCCAGCCCTTATTACCTCCTCTGTGAAAATATCAATCTAATAATAGATGAAAAAGGTGAGCAGATTGTAATCTAATACAACAAATTTCTAAAATACATGGAACAATTTTGAATAACAGATTAGCGAATTTCAGTATCCGAAATAGTTCCTTAAGTTGAACAACATACCGCCCATTTCTGCACACCAAGAAGTTGACCAAGATATTGTGCACTTGGCTGGATCATCCTTTGGTAATGCTGAGACTTATCAGTGAGCACCAGCTGGAGACGATCAAGAACAGCCTTTGTTTGTAATGCCCATTGCTCACCATTAGGATCATATAATTTGCGGATATGGCACCAATCCTTCAGTAGAAGCATTACAACAAAAAAAGGACAGTGAAATTCAAGAAAACTTTTAAAATTAGTTTATCCAAACCAGAAAATCTGGTAGTGTACAAGACAATAGGAATTGCAGTACCGGAACTAAATTAACATATGGTTTACAGTATTTGTCTCCATCACAACAACAAATCACAAAATAACTAAAAGGAAAAATGAGCTACATCTTTAATCAAAGCAAATTAACAAAATAAGTTCAAGCTAGTTTGGTAAAAAGTGCACATCCAAGCTAAATCTTTAATTGTGGCATTTAACATTAAGTGGATGGAAAAGTTTTCAGCTATGTACTAGAACTCAAGCTTTAGGTTCACATGAAAGGACAATTAACAAAAAGTAATTGAAAATTTTATTACTTGGGAAGAATGGCTAACAGGGAAACAATGAAGTTGCAACACATTTGATCAAATTGCAGATAGAATTATATAAAGACTCCCATTCAGACCCTTCTTTGGGTAATCTAGTTGGCAGTGATAGGTTGCAGCTGAGAATCAGATTATAAATGCTAAGTTCTATTCCTTCTATCTACTAGCAGTAACATATCACTTGTGGCATATTTTACCAATGCGAAAACTCCTTCAGTAAGATATGTTCTCGGCCATTCTCTTGGTAACGCAACTGCCAACAGTTCACTTTGAGATCCCTTTAAAATTATGCTTCATGTAATAAAATATTCTAAGCATGGCAGGCTGCAAATTATCTTTATTATTGTAAATGTTATTTAAGATGAGGTTCTTTATCGCTAGATGATGTATGGAACCCCCTCCCTAAACTGGTTAATGCTCAATTTGCATTTTTTTTAAATAGTAGCTCAATTTGCAGTTATGGCATACAATTGGTCCTAGTGCACCTAGGTTTGGTTTCACTAATATGGTAAAGCGATAAGTTAGAGGTAGACATGCACCTTGGCAGAAAATTGTACATTATATTTAGTCAAAATCAATGAGAGTGTATCTATATTACTATAAAAAATGGGAAACGACCTTGAGTTTTTCTGGACTCTGTTTTTGATTGAAATACCCCCCATTTCTAAATTTGGCCTATCTCTATTGTGAGGGAAAAAAACATAATTTGAGCTACTACTTTCCAGTTCATCATACTCTCTCATTAACTTAGATATTCAAGGTACTATTTCACATTCTCTCTCATTTAACTCTTATATTTAAGGCATTTTGTTTCTCACCATTAAATTCCACTAGTTAATTTTGTATGCCATAATTTAATGGTAAAAATCTGTTGAAAGCTTTTATTTTCCTAAGTATAGTACCGCAGGAGTACTATTGTACTTTTACCCTTTTATTATTTTAGTTGCTGCCACCCTAGTATATATAACAAAGAGCTGGCGCCGCCAACATGCTTTTTGACTCTCAATCTTTTCTCCTCTTTTTTCTCTCTTCTCTCTCTCCTCTTCTTTTCTCTTCCATCACTGCACTGATAACATGGTATCAGAGCGGGACTATCAGATCTGAAAGGAGAAGTCGAGTGAATAGTTTTCTTCGCACCAGATTTCCAGATCTGCTGCCCTCATCTATTGTTTGGCTGATTGAAGATCTCACGCACTGAAGTAACTTTTCTCCCTCTGCTCCTTTTTTCTGGTCGTGTGCCAGGGCAGAACCTGTACTAGGTCTGCTGATTGGATGGAGGTGATCCGCACCTTTTTCTTTCCTTTTTTGTGGGGTCGGCTGATCCCTGTAAAACTGTAGGTCGTGAGGACCTTTTGTGTGCTGCAACAGCAGCTTTTATGGTGAACTGGAGGTCAGAAAGTGACCTGTACTTGCTGTAACAGATTGTGTGCTGCAACAGCAGCTTCTATGGTGAACTGAAGGTCAGAAAGTGACCTGTACTTGCTGTAACAGCCTTCCTGTTGATGCGTAGGTCAAGAGATGACATGTATGCACTGTGGCAACACTTGTGTTAACTCTGTAGGTCAAAGGATGACCTGTTAACAGCACCTGTGTTTTACAGAAAAGAGGTGTGTTTCCAAAGAAAAAAAGGGTTTTTCCTTTCTCTCTCAGTGTTAGGATTTTTTTAAGGCTGTGTACCCCCTTTAACAGTGTTTATTGAATTTGAAATCATGAGTGGTGAAGATTCTACTACATCCAGTGTTTCCTCAATGTCGAATGGAATGAGTGGGGGTGTGGACCTATCCTTTCCCATGGCTGTTATTCCTCTCGAAGGTTTAAATTATTTGGAATGGTTAAGAGGGATCAAGCTGTACATTACTGCAAGGGGAAAGATGGGTTATATAAATGGGAGAATCAAAGAACCCAATTCTGGGAGTGCTGAATATGACAGATGGAACCAGGAGAACAGCATGGTTATGTCCTGGCTTTTAGTATCTATGCAAACCCAAATAAGAAGGAATTTGATGTGGGCTGAAACGGCAAATGAAATCTGGGAACAGGCAAAATCAACCTATTCTGAGCTGCATCACTATGCAAAGATTTATTAGTTATAGGCAGAATCATCCACTTGTAAACAGGGGGAGGGTGTCTTTCTGTGTACTACTCAGACTTGACCTCTGTCTGGAAGGAGTTAGATCATTATCAGAGTGTGGATTGGAAGTGTGATGAACATGCAAAATTATACAAGAAACTTGTATCTCAGCAGAGTGTTTGCTTTTCTACATGGCTTGAATCCGGCATATGAATCCATCAGAGTTCAGATCCTAGGTAGCAAGGATCTTCCCTCTGTCCAAGAAGTTTATGCTCTTGTACAATCAGAAGAAAGTAGAAGGAATTTAATGAACAGTTCTGGAGGGGATACAGTTGGGTTGGCAACAAAAGTGTGATTACAGGTGGTGGGAACACCTCTAAGAGGGGATTCTTAAAAAAGGGCGGATGACAAAGACAAACTATGGTGTACTCATTGCCAGAAACCCTGACACACCCGAGATACATGCTGGGATCTCCATGGGAAGCCAAAATGGGCTCAAGATTTGAATAAGAAGCAAGGTTCATATCTGAATAAAAAGTCAGGACAGCAAAATACAAGAAAGAACACTGTGGCAAGCATGGCCTCTCAGGCAAATCATCCCCCCACTACTACTGTGACACTGACTCATGTCTCTGGATCTAACCCAAGGGAGGATATTATTAATTCCTTCCGTGACCATTTAGAGCTCAATGGTAGAACAATTCGTCAGATGTATGCTCCTCCCTTAATGTCATTTGCGTCTATTGAGTAAGTAGTGTAGAACTCATTTTTCTTCAAAGTATAATAAATCTGAGTTTCCTTTTCACATTGTTCATTCTAATGTGTGGGGCCCTGTTACTTTACCATCTGAGAATGGCTACAAGTATTTTATTATCATTATTGATGATTATTCTAGATATACATGGGTATATCCCATGCAGACAAGGGATGAACCAAAAATTATCCAAGATTTTCAACGGATGATCTTCACCCAATTTCAAACTAAAATCCAAAATTTTTAATCAGATAATGCCAAAGAGTATTTTCATAGTGATCTCACAGAATTTTTTTCTTCACGTGGTTCACTTCACCGTAGCTCTTGTGCCTGAACACCACAACAAAATGGTGTTGTCGAAAGAAAGAACCGACACCTCCTTGAAGTGGCCCAGGGTTTACTAATTCATATGAATGTCCCAAAATGATTTTGACTTGAGGCTATCCTTTGTGCTACCTATCTCATCAATCGTATGCCCTCTCATTAGTTGGAGTGCAAAGCCCCACATCAACTTCTTTTTCCTAAGACTCCCCTTCTTTCCATTTCTCCTCGTGTGTTTGGTTGTCGTTGTTTTGTCCAAAATCTATCATCCACTCGTGGAAAATTAGACCCTCGTGCTATTCCTTGCATCTTCCTAGGGTATTCTTTCACTCAAAAGGGATACCGTTGTTTTGATCCTGTTTCTTGGAAGTTTTATGTTTCCATGGATGTCTCTTTCTTTGAGAGTGAGCCTTTTTCCCTATTTCTCCTCATGAGGAGTGTAGGAATGAGGAGAAACTGGTTCAACTCCCTCCTCTTCCTGATCCTCCTCCTTTTCGTGTCCTCTTTCGTCGTCACAAAGGCCAACCAAGTTCAAAAGCTGTGGAGAACCTAGAAGCTGTACTTCCAATGCCATCAAACTCTCCAGGGGCGGATCATATTCACTCAGGTATCTTGGTTTCTATCGATGTCCTTGACCCTATTGCTATTGATACCTCTGTTTCTAATGACCTTGACCTTCCTATTGCTCATAGGAAAGGTGTTAGATCTTGCACCACTAAATACCCCATTTCCCACTTTGTTTCCTATGAAAACATTTCACCCTCTTTTCGGGCCTTTCTCACTTCCATTGACAGTATTCCCATCCCCAAGAATGTGGCAGAAGCTCTTTCAGTACCTAAATTGACAGATGCTACGAAGGAAGAAATTAATGCTCTACATAAAAATGGCACATGGGAACTAGTAGATCTTCTTAAGGAAAATGATCCATTTGGATGTAAATGGGTATTCACAGTCAAAGGGGTTTACACAAGTGTATAAAGCTCCTTTAGTGGCAAAGGGGTTTACACAAGTGTATGGAGTTGATTATGCAGAGACTTTTGCACCCGTTGCCAAGATGAACTCCATTAGAGTCATGTTCTCCCTTGTTGCTAATCTTGACTAGGATCTACATCAGCTTGATATCATGAATGCATTCCTGAATGGTGACCTTGAAGAGGAAGTTTACATGGCACAACCCCCTGGTTTTTGGGCTCAAGGCAATGAACAGAAAGTGTGCAGGTTGAAGAAGTCATTCTACGGGCTGAAACAATCACCGAGAGCCTGGTTCAGCAGGTTCCATGCAACGGTTCAGCACAAAGGATACAAGCAATGTCAATCTGATCACACATTGTTTGTGAAAAGAGGGGAAGGAAAAATTGCTGCTCTGATAGTATATGTTGATGATATAATTATCATTGGCGATTGGAAGGATGAAATCCAAAAGTTGAAGATTTTTCTTGCTACATAGTTTGAAGTA